ACCACTATGTACTTCGACATCTATTCTTGCATTTATGTCCTGCCTTCCATGGTGCTCCAAGTGGCATATGTAGAGCTGTCAGGAGTCTTCACGTCCAAGCAATCACTAGAACCAGAAGTGCTTAGCTGCAGCCTAATCGCTGCATCAGGCACCTTCAGATGACAACAATTATGTATCATGGGGGAAATGGATGGCCCACTTTTCACCTAGAAGGACCCAGAGTGGCATTCAGCATACTCAAAAGTTATATATTATACTCAATAAATAGCCAGTTTCTCAAAACAAGAAAGAACATAATACAGCCCCCTCATACATAGAAAGTACCAGCAGAAAGATGCTACTATTGGCAATAAAACTAAGTTCCAAGTCCATTAAACTCAAAAGTTTTAAATTTCTCACAAGAAACAAAGGAAACCTGGTGCACTTCAGCTGGGAAAATATTCCAACATGGCATCATCACAGAAAATGTCCTGCTCTTTGCCAAATCTTGGACTACAGCATGATCTCACACACTGGTCTTAATTCCAGGGCAGACCTGGTCTGAAGCTGTTTAGGGCTTTTCTAAGCAAAACCAAAAGCTATCATTTAAGCTATTCATGGTAAAGGAATCTGCCATTTTCAAGATTGTTCCACAATCTTCTAAACACGGTCTATTCCACAATGCTGGTATATTCAATGCTGAAATAGATCATCTAGCACATCAATTAGGAAAACAAAGCATTCTCAAAGGTAAGGGGTAGCTAATGAAGGAACCAGAAAAGTGTTTAGGTTTTTAGTGACTAGTCATGTTGAATCCTAGCAACAGCTGTGGTCAGAACACAAAACACTAGAGAAATGCAAAGGCAGGTTAAGGAAGAGTGTGCAATAGTTAACATATAACTAAGACAAAAACAAGTATTACATTGGTTTGCACATTCAAGTATACAACCTGATCATCCTTGGCAGCATGAGTGAATTGTCACCATTGATACATACTGAATTTGAACTGACAATATGTGGTAAGAAATTCTATTAGTAGTAATTAATCTATGATGTCTTGTTCATACCTCTAAGGCTCCACATAGAATATCTTTATCTGTCAGTGACTGCACCATGTGTGAACCACACTTTGGTGGGGATAATCAAAAAAGGCCTTTAAGTAATGTGGCAAAAGGGAAACTGAAAGTTGAAAGGACCTAATGAAAGGCAAACATGAAGTGACAGTTTAGAAGTGATGGAAAAAGGAAAGTTTGTACAGAAACATCTTTTTCTGCTATATTATATAGGAAATGATGCCAGGGCATGGAAAATATATTGTTTTAAGGTAGGAAGAGAGTGATGGTGATGGTATTTTGAAAGCAAATAGAAAGATTAGATGCGGTAGGTACCAGTTTTTACAGGGAAGCATTAATGAGAGCTGAGTTACCAGGTGAGCTATGTATTTCCCAGTGAAATTGATGGAACTACCAACCTTAAACTATCAGGATTGTGCCTTAGTTTTATGTGCTCAATAATGTCAGTTTAAGTCTATCTGTATTACACTAGTAAGATTACTTGAGACAGGGATGGTGTGTAGCTACTCCTCTTAAAACACATAAAATTCAACATTAGAATTTGTTTTGAGATAATGCTCCAGAGATTTCTATGATTGTCCAGAAAAACCTAATGACGTTATAGCTGTTTGCTTTACCCTACCCACCTCCATTTTGTACCTTAGCATCATGTTACACCTCTTCTGTTTACTTCTGTCAAGCATGTACACTTTTATTTATTTATTTGGGTTGTTGTTTTTAAACCCACCCTACTGCTGAAAACTCAGGGTGGATAACATTAAAAATATTTTAAACATGTATTTAATAAATATTTATTACATATTTATAAGGGTGGAATGAAATTATTGCATTGATATGTTGTCAGTCCTTGTGTAGTATTGAGAATCAAAGTATTGTATTATCCAGGAACCAGTTTGTATATTAGACTCTTAAGTTTTATAGGATCGCTCATCAGGCTTTCCTCTCTTGAGCTTATTTTTCTCTCCTTCAAGTCCACTTCCCTTTTTCAAGATTAACTATGGTTAGTGTTATGTCTGCAGCAGATTAACCACTAACCATAGTTAGCTTTAGAACAGAACACAAGATTATGGTTGGAATCTGGTTTCCACTTCTGACTTAATACTGACTTTGGCTAAGGCTGAGACCAGGATTCTGATCTAGCTGGCCTTGGACAGAAAAAAAGAAAATGACGGGGACAGAGAATGAGAGAGAGAACTCACCAGCCACAAGAGGACAGTGAATGAAAGGAGGGGGAGCTGGTACTCTGCAAGTAGGAGGGGTCCTTCCTGTAGAAAATGAAACTGTTGCATCTACCACCAACCCACAGCATGACGGTGGAATCCTGTGAGTGCAGAGTGGCTACTAGCTCTGCCAGCTATCAGCGGCATGTGCTTGAGAAAACTTCCCATCATCCTCCCTACAAGGAGGTGGTTGCTTGATGTCGCAAGTGTCCCACGGTCACAGCAACCTTGATTTTTTGAGGCACCAAGTGCGAGAAATCTTGGTTCACCGGCTTAGCCTGAAGCTATTAAGCAGTTCACATTAAAATAAATCATTTTTGCTTTTTCCCCTATCATCTTGCAGTCCAGTTGTCTTTTAGTTAAAACAGCAGCAGAGCATGGCTGCAGCAATAATCACTGGGCAACAGTTTTGGTTTCTAGCTGGGTAGGGATAGAAGGGGCATAGTAAGAACGGTCAAACAAGAAACACTGAACAGTATGTACTTGGAGAGGCTGATAGTAAACCTGTTCTTTGATTGTTGATAAACTGGCTTCACTTACTTCTCGAGAGTCCCTTAAGTAAGTAGCAGCATTTAGCTAAGAAAGAAGCATAAGGGATGATTTCCCCCTTCACTTAAGAACCGAGCTCAGCCAACTGAATTATTTTCGCAAATATCAGAAAATGATTTAGCTTTTTGAGCCCTATTCTGTAATGTGGACCACACCACATTCCTTATGTCTGGTTGGAAGAAGGCAGAAGAATCCAAACCCCTTTTCTGAACTCTGCCCCCGAGCCCCAGTGCTGTCCCCCAGTCCCCAACTTAACCTTGTGGGCAGTTTGTGACTTGCCAGAGACCTGTGTGTGCAGGAGTCCTACCTGGTGGCTGTACCAGAGCCAGAGCAGTGGGAGAGTATGGGTATCCTCTCACACAAATCTGTAGGGTCTTTGGACCAGATTCTGAGGGCAGCCAAGGGAGTGTATTGGGAAAGGGGGTTATTGCCTCCTGGTTCAAAGTTGTAGTGGAAAAACTGTACTGGATTTCAACCATACTGTGTGGGCACCAGTGTCATAAGGCTGCCTAGTCTGAAAAGCTTTGGAGCAGCATACATGCCGGGGCCCTCTGGCCCCTTCCAACTCTACTAGGTATATAATCATAGACTAGTAGAGTTGGAAGGGGCCAGAGGGCCATTGGATTCAACCTCCTGCCGAACGAAGAACTCCAAGTGAAAACTATCCCTCTCCAATAGCTGTCCAGTCACATCTTGAATGCCTCTAATGTGGGAAAGCCCAGAACTTCCCTAGGTAACATTGCCAATTGCTAAGGCTTCTGGAAAGTTGCTGTGTATTGAAAGCCGGAGATCTAATGAGGTAGTTTGGAAAATGTAGTGTCCAGATAGCCTGGCACCCACAGTATGCAATCTCAAACTCAGGTGCTTCCCGCTGAGGCTTTTATGATACCATTGACCTGCCTCATTAATGAAATTTTATGGGGGTTCAGGGCCTTCCACTGATAACATTCCTATATTTTCCTATTGCTTTTTCTGTCTTTTTTCCTTACCACATGCATTGTGGTGGAAGAAGAGTCAGAAGAGCTTTGGTTCTCTGGAAAACTACAGGGTCTAAGCTTTCTGGTAAGTAAGATGCTGATTTGGCACAGAGGCAGATGCAGTGAAATGGACTGAAACTGGACGTAGACTAGAACTTTTATAGATAAGGTGTTTGTGATGTTACCAAATATTATGAACAGGACAAATATAAGAAAGTTATTTGCAAACAACAATATCATGATCTGTCATGGTCAGACTGGACAGGCAAGTGAAGTTAGGAGATGGAAGGTCTAACACCTCACCCACATGCCATTTTTTAAAGTGACCCCCACTTTATATGTGAATAGAACAGCATTGAATTTAAACATGTTCACTTAGCTCCATAATGCTCATCTGTGAGCCACTTTAAGGAGAACATGATTTGTGCAGCCAAAACCAATTTGTGCAGCAAAAAAAAAAAAAAAAAAAGGGAAAAAAAAAAAAAAAAAAAAAATGGTACAAAGCAAAGAATAGCTCCATGGTGCAAAGGCAAGGAACACCTCCATATAATTATCTGTAAAAGGAGAAGTATCATGGCTAGGGGTTCAGTCTTGGATAGCCATTGTGTTAAGTACTATGAAACCATTATAACAACCTCAGCAAAGAATACAATACCACTGGTATTTATGAATTTAATGTTGGTGTTGCCTAAATGAGCTCTATTGCTTCCGGACACTAACTGAGGTCCTCAGCAAGCAAGCATATTGCAAACCATGTCACAGCATGGTTACTGCCCTTCTGTGTGGAAAAAGTCTTGCAGGTGAAATACAGACAAATGTGCCTTTAAGTTAAAAACTTCCTATCTCTGAATGGCAAAAAACTGAGTGGCAGCAATGTTTTCTAGCATCTATTATGAACAATTTACACTATATTTTAGCATTCAGATTTTGAAAGAACCCTTTTTAAACATGTAAATTAATGGTTTTTAAAAAAATGCTTCCAAATTATCAATGCATAATAAAGTAATATAAAAAGGCTGTATTTCAAAAGCCTTGTAAAATGTTAAGGGACAGAAAGTTCTGAATAAATATTTAACATGTTTTAAAGAGATATTAAGGTGCTTTTACTGATACTACACTGACGTGGTTTGCACAATCAAAATAAGCCACTATGATAAGCTGCATGTAGGAGGTGATAATAGAAACCACACCACACAGGCACTGCAATGTAAAGTTGTCTTATTTCAATTGTATGAACTGGCCCATTTCACATATCTATTTTAAACATGTAGGACCCTCTTCTCCAAGCCTTGAGGCAGTTTCCAACAAAAAAGAAAAACAGCAATACGATAACCAGTAAATCTTAAAGTAAATCCAATGCTAGACCACAGTGCTTGCTCTCCAGTCATCTACTTTTCAAAAGAACAAAGTTTTGCATCCCTTCCCAAAAATTCACTGAGGAAGTTGCTCTAATGTAATTCTGCTTCATTGGACCTCAGCGGTTACATGTAGACAGCTTCTCACATGTGGGGCAAACTCCCTCGGTAATTGAAATTTACAAAGAATAATAAATTGTGCAAGTTACAGAATAGTAGTGCTCTAGTGAAGAACAGTATCAGCTCTTTTGTTTCAATCAGTCAAAAAAAAGACATGAAGTGGCTTTTGCTTCCTCATGCTTCAAGGTCTTGCCCAAAGGAGAGAGAAGTGTGTAGCATCCACTGTTTGAAAGTATGCACACATTCCCAGACAAAAGACCAGAGGGATATTCTAGAAGCGGAAGAGGAAGTCACTTGAATTTCTGAATACACTGGGTTGTATCAATGTTCTTCCCTTAGCACAAATGCTGTTACTCTAGCAGAAACTGGGTTCTCAACTGTGTGCAAGAGCAGGATCAATCTCCTTTGTGCAAATGGTTGCACCTCACTGTTGGACAGCCCACGATGCAGCAGCTTGTGCAACTGTAATGCTCAGCTGCTTACACAATGTGCCTAACTTGTGCAGCCAGTTGCATATTCTGTTTGCACTGCCGTTGGCCAGCATGTTGTGCATCAGCTTGCATAACTAGCTGGGCAAGTGTAATGGGCACCCGCTTGGTGCAACAGATTTGGAGGAGCTTCACGACTACCATTCAAGTTTGTGGAATTACATAATTGGATGCTACCCATTGGGGAACTAACCATAAAACCTGCAGGCTGGGATTATTTATTTACCATGTGGGAAGTCATGCTTGCAATGTTTATATTATATCAGAACTTCATGTTAACAAGCTGAATCAAGATAAGTGATATAATTGGCCAATATTTTCATTTAATGATGACCATTTTAAAGTAAGCTTTAGCAGTTCAGTGTTACAGCTGCAGTTCATGGTAACTGAAAGATAAAAACAAAAGGTGGACTTGAGTCATTTATAGGCATGCCATGTTCTTACATTGCCTCTTCCTGTGGTTATGTTTGCTGGGAGAAAAAGGGTGATCAATCACTGACAATGCAGTAACGCTCTGTAAACAATTATCTTTCAAAGGCTTGTGCTTGTATTGGGCCAGTTGACCACTTTGTTTGAGGTCCCAAAAATGTCTTTCATGGGAATACTCTGCTCCTGAAAAACAAGGTTTCCATGAGGTCTAAACATTGTTCTTGTTTAGCAGCAAATAACAGAGCCCTTGTCTTAGGGCACGTATGGAATCCTGTCTCTTCTCTTTCCTTGAAAAGATGTGACAGGTTTGTGCCAGAACACTGTTTACTCTGATTTTTCAGACTATGTAAGGGGAAGCTGACAAGATGCTATTAAAAACAAGTCAAACTCTAGTGGAAAGGCTGCCTTGAATCTGTTTAAACTATGGCCGTGAGTGTCTATATGCATATTACTCTTCAAGCTGTATTTTAGCACTTCAGGACAGCCAATACAGGCTGAGAGATAGATTGGAGACTCTGCATAAACACTTGGTCTATGAGCAAACTCAGGTGGCGAATGTTGACAAGGAAAGCAAGCAAGCTGGGGCCCCTGAGAAATGAGGGAGGTTTGTAGGAGTAAAACAACAGAGAACAGAAACTTAAAACAAGCCATAAAATATTGAATGCCTAGAGGAAAAAGGGTGCAGGGAAGATTTGTCCCACTTGAGCCGCTTAGGGTCCCTTGCAGGAGGACAAACTGGTTGGCTAGAAGCATGGACTGAGAAAAAAGGTGAAGGTGTTGTTTGGACTAAAATTATATGGATACTAAAGTGGCAAAGACTTGTTGCCAGTCTCTTCTGCTTGCAGCAGCACCAATATTCAGGCTGCAGAACAAGGAAGACAATCAAGGCCAACCTAATACCCTCACTGTGAAAATATGAAAGGGTCACATGAATATTCCTCCCCCAGTTTGCCAACTCTAACTGGAGATGCTTTTGTTTAAGGCTCCAGGGGTCACACTGGCTATCATTCAGCAAAGTTCTGCTTATTTCATTGGTCTTCACCCTCCCAAAACAGGAAAGGAGGAACAGGGAAGCAGGATGGGTCAAAAAGATTTGTTTTCTCATGGTTGCTCCCTACGTGATGAGAATAATGCAGTTACCAAAAAAAAAACCTGGTTGTGGTGTGTTAACACACGGCTTATAACCTCATCGTGGGAACTGGTCCAGTAGTGGACAGTATCCTCGCTACCCATTCATATACCCAGGTAAGTGCTGTGCTGGAATGGACACTATGTAATTGGGCAAATCCGCACAACAAAACACTTTATAGAGTCCACATTGCACAATTTTGTTGTACCCCCACATTCCGTGACATAGGAAGAAAGCTTCAGGTTCTGATTTTAAAAGCACTGAAGGACAGTCGTTCCGCTCTAATGGATTGCCTGTACAAAGTTCTGAAGTTTGGGCAAAGTTAAGAAATAAAAAGGGCCACAGAGGAACACATCTTCATTACTTTCTTCCTTCAGCTCTCAAGACTGACTGCAACTGTTTCTAGTTCAACACTGCACATCTCCCTGAAGAATTTGGGGATGGTCACCTGGCTGGATCTGAAGAGGTGACACGGCAAGCTCTCCCTCAGCTTAGCTGCTTAGGGCCAACTGTAACTGGATCCTCCTCTTCCTCCTCACCTGCATTTTGCCTGAAGTGACCATTTCACATGGTTCTTATGTAGTACTATAGAAGAACTGATACCTGAATGCACTCATTTTTCTCTTCCCCACATTTTTATGAATTCAATTGGATCATACGCCATTGTTTTAAATTCTAAACTACCTGAAATCTATTGCAAGAAAAGTGGCATATGAATAAGAACATGGGAAGAGCCAAAGACCTGTCTATTCCTGCATACTGTTCGCAGAGTGGCCAGCCACTACAGGTGGACACCCAACAATCAAGACATGGGCGCAATGGCTTCCATCTGTGTACTTAAGCACACCACCACTGAAATGGGGGGGGGGAATCTTATGAGCAATAGTCATCGATAGCCCTAGGCTTTGTGCATTTGCCAAAGCTGTTTAAAGCCATCCAGTGGCAACCATCACTAGATCTTATGCCAGTGTATTTGACTATGTGCTTCGTGAAGGACTTCCTTTGATGGATCCGAAACTCCCACCAGTCGACTTTACTCAATGACCCAGGATCTAATACTATGAAACAGTAAGAAAAATACCTCTGTATCTACTTTCTCCATACCTTGAATAATTTTGTACACTTATGTCTTTCCTCACTTGGCTTTGTTCTAGGTAAACAGTCCCAGATGATGTAACCTTTCTTCATAGTTGTGTTGTTCTAATACCTCACTAAATATTCTTGGCATTTTCTGCACTTCTTCTATAGCTCTACAGTATCTTCCAACTCTACTGTATCTTCTGCCAACATGTACAAAATTAAACACAAGTTCTTGTTACTACAACACTTATTTAGAATGATGAATATATAATTCTGTAACATGGGAAAATACTTTCATGCACAACATGTTCTTTGCATGGCACTTTCTTGCTTGACAGGGCTGTCCTCGGATGAACAGTACTTTACACTCCTTCAGAAATTTGCTGCCCATGATAACGTATTTCAGGTAGGTTGTTGAAATTATGATAAACCTAGGCTTCTAGAAGCTGACCACTGCACATCCAGATGCAATATAAGATTCCTCAGGGTTTTTTTTTTTTTTTGAAAATCTTCAAGATCCAAAGTCCTTGAGTATATTGGTACTTTCTTCAGCAGAACTGATTATCCTCTCTGTGCATCTTGAAATCCCATTTGTCAGTTTCATCTTCACACTGTACTACATCTTGAAATGACACTTCTCAGTTTCCTCCTCCATTTCAGTGCTTCCTTTGACTCCCCAAAGCAGTAGCTAAACAGGATGAAGCCACGGGGTGGGTGGGCTTCAATTACTGTGAGATTCAGTGGACTTACTGAGAAATACTGTTTTTCTGTGGTTTGGAAGTATGTAACTGCACATGTGAATGAGAGGGGAAAAATAAACATTAAAAAAACTACTTGCATGTTTCAGAAGCACTTAAAATAATGTGTTTAAAAAGATCGCATATAAGAAAACTGGACAGTAAATGGGGAGTGAAAGGTTTTTTCCTGCAGGGAAGGGGTTATGAAAGGGGTTGTGCAGCAAAAGCCTGGGAACACACGCTGGGAGTCAGCAGGAGGACTAAGGGAAGAGCAAGCCAGAGCAAGCCACGATGCCCACCAAGGCTGATCTCAGGGTGGTTTGTTGGGATGTACACACTCGAATTCAGCAGTTCACCAAAGCTGGTACCCTCCCCTGCACATGATGCCAGCCACTGATTTAAAGGATCAAGGTGAACAGGCACACAGAGGGGTGTGTAGCTGACTGCCCTGGCAATGATTTGCACAGGAGAAGGGGAGGCATGCCAGTAATGCAGGAAGCAAGGCTTGGGCTGACGTGAGGGATGAGAGAGCTGACAGCTTCGTGTGCATGTGCCTAATGCCTGTAGTTACAAACAAAGAATGTGAGCTAGGTTCACCAATGCCATCAGAGTTTGTAGCAGCAGCAGCAGCAGCAGCAGAGAAAGGCCAAGGGGCAGGTAAGACGGGGCATTTTGGCAGTGTTGTTTCTAAAAGCAAATTAGGGTGAAATTTCTACCTGTGATCTAACACACTGGTGGTTTTTCCATAGGCAGCTAACTTACCTTCCTTGGATTCATTGCAAATCTAAATTTCAATGTTTGCATAAATTGTAGAATAGTAAGAGCAATGTCAGTTCCCTTTTAAGCACCAAATAGCCAAGAAGGTGGCAACTAGATGTCTTATGAAAAGACACATATTCCAGACCGACGTGGCTTTAGAATATATAGCAAGACGTTTCTGACATGTGTCTGAAGAGAAGAAAACTGTCTTCTGACCCTGCTTCAGAAATCCCTGGTGCCTCAGTCTCTAAATGCTACAGAAAATGCTCATCACTTTGCTTTTAAAGTCATTCAAAACAAAACAAGGCTTGAGGCTTGAAACCCTGTTTCAGAATGAGCTTTAGTTTAGGTATGATCTTCTGCCACAAAGATTTAACTGAGCACAAGCTCATGGGGGCTCAGTACTGCTTTGAATCCAGCACCTCAACCTAGAGGAATGTAATGCAGCAATAAAGAATTTGCATCTGGGTGCACACAATGGGTGGGTTACCCCCACCAGGAATTTTAGCAACACATGTCACCCTCAGGGGGATTGTGCGCCCCCTGCCATCCTCCAGCAGTTTTCCAGGGGTCACTACAGGAGCGCTGAGGAGAGGAGGATGACAGCAGCCAAAAGTCAGCACAAAAGTTGCTAGGTCAAAGTTGGGCTCTGTGAGCTGACCCTTCAAAGGAAATGCTTTCCTAGGACTTTGGGACAGGGAATGGGCAAGGAACTGGGAAAGTAGGGAGGAAAGCTAACTACTATTTAAGTATAATACAACATCTGAGTTTAAAGGCTTTCACAGGATCATCTAAATGTCAAGCTGAATTGTACAAATCAGTATCACCAAATATCAGACATCTTCCCACAGCTTCCATCAATTTTCTCCAGGCTTTGAGTTGTACCTGAGTCCGCAAGAAGTCCACCTCTTCTGTCAGCATCTGCCTTTCCTTGTATAGCTCATTCTGCTTGTTGAGCAACTCCACTAGCTGCTGGGCAGTGGTCTGGCAATGCTTGTCCAGCTGGTGCAACCTGGATAAGATATACAGAAGAGGTTGTTCTGGTGTTGGTGCCAGAGTGGAGCTATAGCAGGGCGTAAACCAAAGTATGAAAACACCTTTACTTTGCTCGCTTACACAGAATCATTTACAAGTGTTTTATATTAAAAGCCTTATCTGGAAGAACTTACAAAATTACCTGAGTCATTGCATATTACTGATGGAAAAATTGCCCACAATGCAATAGCCCACCATCCTGTCTGTCTTTCTACTCAGGTACATGAAAGAGATCACTGAGATAATGTCATTTTTATGACTTTATAATTAGTCCTGTAAACTTCACATATACTGACCTGGATTTAGGCTTGTGGAGACTCTAGTCAGTTTAATAGATTTGGTTCTTAGTCCAAGCCCAAGAGCACAGGGTATCTCTTTATCATCCCAATCAAACTAAAAATAGAAGGCTTTATCCAAAGATGCAGCAGTACATGAGCTGCTTTTTCCTCAGGTGTTTTTGGTTACAGCAATGAAATTAACTCCAAGTATATTGTTGTGTTCCTGCAAATTAATGCCTTGCACAAGGAGAGGCATGAGAACTGCTAAAGCACCTATCTAGTACTGAACTGTGCTGAATTAAGTCAATATTTGAGGAATAGCACTGACCAGTATTTCCCTTCCACACATGGTTCCATCTGCATAGGAATCAACTGTGTGTTGCTTGTTGTTTGTCAGCTTTGAAAAACTGCAACTCAGTCAATTAACTGGATCAGAAAGACAGGACTAGCCCTTTCTCAGCTGAGCTGGGATTATGTTGACATTGCTTTCCATGAGCAGGGACTTGTCCTGGATGGTATTATTATGATTATGTGTTTATTAATGTGGATTGCCTCTGCTGGTTGCTATTTTTACACATGTCTTGTCTCCCCACATCCCCTTCAGAGATTCCAAGATAGACAGATAGAAATGAGGGCTTAAGCATAGGGGCAAATCTACTCCTGAATATGCAATTGAAGATGGAAATCAAACTTTGCAGGCAGGTTTCTTGATGGAAGGGCAGTGCTAGTTCACAAAAAGAGTCAGGGTTCACAGGACAAGAAAATAAATGCCAAAATCTGCGTTTAGATATGCTCTAAAAGTACACGTGCATGTCTTTAAAAGACTCTGTCTCTTTAAAAGACCCTTTAAATGAACCCACTATCTGCAAAAAGAGGTGAGAGGAGGACATTTGGTCTCAGAAGAAAACTCCCACTCAGTAAAAAGATTCAAGAGGAGAACGCAGAAAGTAAAGCACATGTGGGCAAAAAGTCAGCTGATGCAGTGTGATCAGATGCAACAGAGATAATCCGGGCCTTTGTACCTTTATTTCAGTAAGTGGACAAAGCAGGGTGCTAGAGAAGATGGCATCCGAGAGGTCTGAGGCTCCAAATAAAAGATTTGGGGCTTAAGCCCTTGTAGGCCGACCCTTAACACAGCCTCTGTCTTGAAGACCCATCGTCTAAGCCAATAACTTCCATGTCACTATAAGCAACACTCTCTACCTAGATTTTCACAATGCAATAGACATGCTTTTTGATTGTAAAGTCTAAGGGCTGCTCGGTTGCACACACCCTTTGGAATAAAGTTCCAAACTTTGGAATAAACTCTGTCTGAATATATATGTGCAAAAGCTGGTCACATGTTTCTCTGTGGACATGGTGGGGTTGAATGCGACAAGATAGGTGTGGGTGGACTGCTGTGGGACTTGGGATAAAACAGGCATTGGAAGGAAGCTAGGCTGGCCTGAACTGATTTGAGGGAGAGTGCAATCTATTCTACATGGTTCTCACTCTTGCTGGAAGGAATTGTTGCTTAACATGCACTGTGGGTTTTGCATTTGCAATCAATTCTACCATACATGACAAGAAGTTTGCTTAACTCCAAGCCCAGAAATTAGTAGTTCAGCAGAGGAACTGCCTTGTTTAACTGTCATTCAGTCCCACACCAATAATGTCATGATCGTAACCTTACCTATTAAGAAACCTATGTATATAAGTTGGTGCTTGCTAGCCCTCATCCACCATCTGCATTCTAGCTGTTGACTTTTCCCTTCCACCATGCTCTACTCTACAGAATACCAATAAACCAATGTCTCTACACATCAGCTGTTCATTTTTAGGGCTGATTACATCAGTAATTCCAATAAACTCCTAATTTCAAGAGCTGACCAGGATTTTGGCAGGACCACCAGCCAATTATGAATGAAACACCTCCAGAAACAGCAGGAGAAGACCCAAATTCACAAGCAGCTGTGGGTTGATCATTAAAAGATGATCCCCCCATCTCTGCAAAGGCAGACTGTAATTCAAATTTAACCAAAGGGAGATCTGTCCGTGTCAATAAACTTGTAATAGGCTCTCCAGCTCATGGAATAATGGGCTTAAGTTACAGGAGCCAGGTTTTGGCTGGACATCAAGAAAAAACTTCCTGTTAGAACAAGGGAGGGAGGTTGTGGGCTCTCCCACACTGGAGGCATTCAAGAGGCAGTTGGACACCCATTTGTCAGGGATGCTTTAACTTGGAGTCCTGCATTGAGCAAGGTGCTAGACTGAATGGCCTTATAGATCCCTTCCAACTCTACTATTCTATGATTTAATGAGCTCCACCCCTATTCCAGTACAGATGACCAAATCCAATAGGTTCCCTGCTACATGTCATGGGCCAGTTATTTGTCAAAGATCCATGACTGAGAGGTGCCCAGAAAGTCAAAATCATTTCAGAGAAGACAGCCTCAGGATGGATGGGTTTTCAACATCACCCGTTAGCTCAGGTAAGGAGACAGGCAACAGGTTGGATGGTACACCAACAGAACCCCAACTTTATTACCTGGTACCAGGGATAGACACTCAGACATGGCCAACTGCTGAAAGCAGTATCTGATCAAGAAGAGGAATCTTTCCAGACCACACCTAACTCTTCTTCATACCCCTCAAATCTTGACTGCTGTGGCACTTCTTCCCCTGGAGGACACATTTAGGAAAGGGTTACACCTCCCCTTTGTCCAACCATAGCCCTATTACAAAGCTCAGGAATATGCTGAATCTGTCCTTGATTGCATGTTTTTAGAAGAAGCCCAGATAATGCAACTAAGGGTTTTAGGGTCCTGTAGCTCAGGAGATCACCAAAGGATCACTCGGAGAGAGTCAGGCAATGGAGAGGGTAGCAAACATGCCCAGAGTCAGCACCTGGCCTAACAGGAGCACACTGGAGGACACTGGGACTGACAGTGCTCCCTGCAGCACTCTTTCTTTCCTCTGCTTAAATAAAAGTTAGAGGAAGGCAACCAGGGATGTATGTTTACATAGATTCACTGTAGTATTTTATTTTTAAAATATATTGTCCTTTTCTACACCATCCAACAAATGCACTCAGCACTCCAGTAGTGTTAAGATTTAGGGAGTGTGGAACTTCACATGTTCAAAATATTGGGATTTTTAAAATCAGGGTTGCCAAACAATATGGCTGTCAACCCCCCCACCCCACCCATAAAACCACTGGAGTCTAAAATTATTAAAGCTGAACCACTGCTGTTGTTCTTCTATGATATTCCTTTTGGAGCTGCAATTTCTATCCATAGTGATTCTATGGATAATATCCTCATGATTTCAAACATTTACAAGACTTAATATCACATGCCATGGTCCTAAATCTGACACTGAAAGAAATTCTCAAGTGTATATCTAGCTGACACAACATGAAGGATATGTACAAGTCAGCAAAATGTGTACCACTTACATGCGATTTATTTAACTTTGTCTTTCTCTATAAACAAATAATGTGTGGCAGCGTTCGGTATTTGCTGACTGTAAAGTGTCCCACCCAAGTGCTTGTGCCATTCAACCATCAAGAAGCAGACAACCCAGTTGCTACTCCATCTCTGTTCTCCTAGGGCAGGAGGATACCTGAGACATGAGCAAGAAAAATGATTCTAGAAAAGTGATTCTATCTTAGGATGCTTTTTGTTTTTAATGCTTTGCCATTAGTTCACTTTGATTTTCCCCCCAGAGTGAAATCAATGTTCTATAACAACTGCCCTGAACTAGAAATACATGATGTGTCACCCACTTTATCCCTAAAGCTCACTTCGGGGGGAACTTCGTAGTATATGAGAAAGATTCCTGGTCCCTCCTCTGTTGAAGACTAAGGTGTGAAGTCCAAAAGATACCATGCTCTGACATTCTACAGCATTCCAGTAACATCGTGTTAGGCATGCAACGGATTTCCACTGTACTCTGCAGAGCTAAATGTGCCATAGCAGTGAGATTGAATTACAACAACTGGCAGCCGCTAAATCACCAAATCCAATAGCCACGCTGCACTTACTGGCACACATCTTAATTAGGTTTTAATATAAGTAATCTGATAACTACTCCTGGCTGGCCAGAGCCGAACTGTCACCAGTGAAAGCTCTGTTATTGAGCTGCTCTTCCCAGATAGGGAGCCTCCCTACTGACCCTTGTCAAAGAACCCCATCTGCTGGTTACCACGGTAACTGAAGGAGACCAATTGAGCAAAACAGAGAGACTCCGGAAAAGGTCTGCAGCCAAAGGAACTTTGCGGAATGGGGAAAGCGCTTTGGAAAGGAGAACTTGCACACCGCACCAGTAAAAGATCCTTGCGAGTAACACAGCTCCCCACAGTAGGGAAGCAGTAAAATCAGTTAAGACAACTCTGCTCCAAAGCATGAAAGTGGGAGTGAGGAAGGACTGAATCACACCCTTGCTGCTGGTAAGGAGGCTTTTCAGGTTACTGTAGCATTTGAAAACCTGCAAAACCTGATCGACCCAAGGCAACTGTTTTTATTTGTTCCAGTTAAGTGTTAATGTAAAGCTGAAGCTCTCAGGGTACTATTAACATAACCAACACCACTTTTTAAATCTGTAAAAGGGCAACAATATTCTAAACAATTAAAAGAGATAAATATCAAAACAGCTAAAACATTGACTAGGACAAATTTAAAACACTATTTTAAACATTATTCCAAGTAAAAGAAGAAAG